GGCGTTTGGAGATAGTAACGAGGGTACGGATCCGCTCACGATTTCTATTTTTTGCTTTTTGGCCGAAAGCTTCCTTTTTGCACCCCAAAGGTCTACATTAACTTTTTTAAAGTTTTTTGATTTCTAGGACGTACTCTAGATACATATTCCCAATAAAAAAAGCATAAAGGGAACACAGAGATTTTTCGAGCTGAAGTCATCAACACTGGCTGTGCTTGCAAATAAAAACCCACTAAATACCGACACCAATTTTGGTAGAAGTCCTGGAAATACAAAAAAAAACTTTAAAATAGTTAATGTAGACCTTTGGGGTGCAAAAAGGAAGCTTTCGGCCAAAAAGCAAAAAATAAAAATCGTGAGCGGATCCGTACCCACGTTACTATCTCCAAACGCCGACTACTAAGCCACTAGGCTACCAGGACACGGTGGTTGGGGCGTGGGGAGGGCCTATGAAGGTAACGCCACAAAGTTTAAACCGTTGTAACTTTGTTAAAATAAGGTATCAGCAGCTAAAAGTTACATCAATCGATTCGTCTCGTCGAGCTCTACAAGATGCACATACTCACATATCTGGGTCCGATGTCCGCCCGAAAACATTCCCTAGTCAGGGCATTCGGGGTCATGCGAGTACGCAGTGATACGTAATTCCGTTTTTTTCGGGGTGAAGGGCAGGCGGATACCGGAGAAATGTAAATAATCGGTCGCGTCGCGAATTTGTCTTGCAAGTGGGCCCTGGACCCTAAAATTCGGAATTAGTATCGCTGTGTACGCTACCTCATCCCTGAATGGCCCTGAGTACCGTGGCCCACTAAACCCTCTTCTCTGTGCCCTAAACTACGCATCACTACATTTACCGTACGAGCGCATACTGTAATTAATGCCGATCGATAAGACTGTCAAAATCGATAATGCCGACTTGCCATAATGTAAAAATTTCCTGCCTTTTTTTGAGTCAAAACAGTTTTGACCCTAGAAAAATCCAGAAAAAATTTCGACTCCTGAAATGTGGCATTATGAATCTCATCATTATGAAAATAATCCCTTCTAAAGGTACCTCCCCATTGAAATGGGTGGTGCCCAACTAACAGAAACCCTTTGTCCCAATGCGGCCTTGTTGGACTGTGGCCCGTGGCATGTCGGGGGAATATTCACCGAGAGAATATTAGGAATCAGCTGATTTGGGAACGAAGCCGCTGTGATGCCAAACGATACTAGCGATATGGTATGTATTTCCCTGTTTTCAGCTTCCAGCAAAGCCCGACAGCAGCCTTCCAAGATGTTCCACCACCCACATCCAATCCTCTTTCCAGTCAGAAATTCTTTGAACATTTCGAGAATGGGGATATGATAAGGCCGTCTGGTGGGGGAAAGACTAGAAGAGAGAGAGAGAGAGAGAGAGAGAGGCTTATTCCTTAAGCTTAGCCCAAGCTTAATCCCAAGCAAGCCTAGGCCTAAACCTAAGTCTAGGCAGAGGCCTGATTTTCAATTCAAGATAAGCCAAGCTCAACTCTCAGCAAGCCCTAAGCCTGGAGGCTCAACCCCAAACCAAATCCTAAGCCCAGACCGAATGACTAAGCTTAGACCTCAATGACAAGCCAATTTCATAAGCTAAGCTAAGCCAGAGACTAAGCCTTGTGAAACCGCGAATAACCTGTGCTTAATCCCTGAGCCTATACGCCTAACTCTGGCCCTAATCCCAAGCCAAGCAGAAGCCAAGCCAAAGCCAGGCCCATAGCCTAGGAACTCCAGCCTCTTCCAGATTCTGCTCTGAAAAGGTTGCCAAGCGGGGCGAAATCGACATCCGAGCCCTTCGGCAAAAATGCCAGCAAGCCGAGATCACCAGGTAGAGATTTGGCCTTCTTGAGTGATAGTGACATTTCCAAGCGAGATCTAACGGTCCCTTTTAGGAATCAGATCGAGGAGGACATGCGCGAGAACCACCCATTTTTCGATCGGCCTCTCTTTATCGTGGGCCGGGCGTCGAAGGTGAGCATGTTCAATATTGGGATGCTTTTCCATTAACGGGGGCCCCAATTTTTCGACAAGGAGAATAAGCGAAAACGAGCAAAATTTCGAATTTCCCCGCTCCAGATCAGCGGAATTCTGCAAGAAAATCGTGCACGCAAAAATAGGACATGAGCGGGGAGACGTCGCTTGGAGGGCTGTCAAGGGGCAGCGCCAATATAAGGAGCTACAGTAGGTCACGAGTGGGTACGGTAGAATGGGCTCCGTTTAGCGCACTGTTGGGGCTGATGCCGTATCTCGACTGGTCGATGGTGTTCGTCACCGTCATCTCGTGCGTGTCGATGCTGTTCGAGAGTCCCTGGCCGACCACGGCCGCCTATCTGGTGATGAACAACTTTTATTTGAGGGTAAGTCTCACTCACGCGCTCTCTCGTTCAATTAATCTCGTGGAACTCCTCGGACATGTTGTTCATCACCATATGACAATTTATTCCCCCCTATCTCGCGCTATTGCGTCAATTTTCTAATTCTCTCTCTCCGCCCACCTTAGTGCTCATCTCCAGATTGCCGACTACATGTTCGTCCTCTGCATGACCCTCGAGCTCCTCCTCAAAATCACTTCCAACGGCCTATTCTTCACCCCGAACGCCGTCGTCCGAGATGTGGGCGGTGTAATGACAATGTTCATCTACTTTGTGGGTCCTTCTGAATTTTTCTCATCAAGGGAATTTTCTAGACGTCCGTCATCTTCCTGTTCTGGATGCCCGAATCGGTGGAGATCAACTCACTCGCCCAGATGCTTATGATTTGCCGAGCCATGCGACCATTACGGTAGGAAATTGGGTGGCGAGAGAGAGATAGAGAGAGAGAGAGACAACATTGTTTATTTCAGAATCTACACCCTAGTTCCGCACATCCGGAGGGTCGTCGTCGAGTTTTTCCGCGGGCTGAAGGAGATTTTATTGGTTGGTGTGGTTGAGGGCGATTGGGCATGCTAGCAGAGAATATTTGGGAGAAGGGAAGAGAGAGACAGCAAGCGAGAGGGAGAGAGAGCAAGAGTTTCTTAAAATAGCAACCTTCAGGTAACCATCACTCCCTCATCGTGGTCATGTTCATCTTCGCCTCCTTCGGCGTGCAAATCGTTGGCGGGAAGCTGGCCGCATGCAATGATCCAACCATCACGACACGTGACAACTGCACTGGCCTATTCGAGCAGAAGATCTTTGTCACGAGGATGGAGGTGTATGGGAAGAACGATGAAGCCCTTCATCCAAAGATATTGGTGCCACGAGTATGGTGGGTAAAGATTATGGAGCGAGAGAGAGAGAGAGAGAGAGAAAGGGAGAGAGAGAGAGAGCAAGAAATAGACGATTTCATGCTCATATTTTAGGACCAATCCTCGTAACTTCAATTTTGATCATATCGGGAATGCGATGTTGGCTCTTTTCGAGACGCTATCGTATAAGGGCTGGAACGTCATTCGGGATATACTGTATCAACGGCATGGAGCGGTAAG